ATTCTTTTAGTTAAACATAGACATGTTTGGCATCTTCAGAAATGTCAGAATATTGTCTAGAACAGAGGTGCCCAAAGTGGGGCCCGCGGGCCAAAACTGGCCCACCAAGCATTTGATTTGGCCCACCAGCAGTTGTCCTGGTTACTTGGAATTATGTTAAGATTAAATATAAAATACAAGTAACTTCAAGAGACATTTAGATTAGATTTAAGCCCATATCTAGATTTGCACACCCTATAAGACCACATTTTCTCAAATGTTAAATTCTGAAAAGTCCCATGAGCCTTTGCTGCCTGAGCATATGTTGAATTTTCTCCATGTTCATGGGTTGAAAAAAAAAAGAATGTGGGCAAACACACTGGCCGCTAGCTTTATCATAAAAAAAAATAAAACAACTTTAAGTATTCGCATTTCTTATATTACGGCGTTTGGCCCACAGCCTTCAGATTGATTATAATTTTGACCATCTCAGGGAAAATATTTGGGCACCCCTGGTCTAGAAGCTGCTAAAAACCATTTCTATGAATATCGTACAGTTCAAACTACAAGCAGCTGAATATTAAATATGAAAGTGAAAATAAAATTGGTTTAAAATTTTGGCAAGTCAGAGGTGTTAMAATAATGTGTTAAAAAGGAGGCACTATCATCAGTATTATCACTACTTTTATTACATAATGTTCTGTATGTTGTATTCATGATTAAATACAGCAAAATAAACTGTTTCAAAGGTAACAGATCTTTAGATTTTTTTATTTCTTTTTTCTTACGTAAGAAAAAAGAAAAAAAAACAGATCTCTGGATTACTTTATTTATTTACATCATGTTCTGTATGTTGTATTCATGATTAAATACAGCAAAATAAACTGTTTCAAAGGTAACAGATCTTTGGATTTTTTTATTTCTTTTTTCTTACGTAAGAAAAAAGAAAAAAAAACAGATCTCTGGATTACTTTATTTATTTACATAATAACTTTAATTGCTGGATGTTCGGCCCTTGTGCTGTTGGCCTGCAGTAACTGTGGCCCCCGGAGCAATTTAGTTGACTAGCTATGGCATAAGTGGTGGGGATCTTCAGACACCTCACAATTTGCTAACAATTAAATGTATTTATTAGGGGTGCAACAATACAGAAAATTCACGGTTCGGTTCGATACTTTAGTCTCACGGTTCGATATTTTTTCGATACAAAAAAGAGAAATTTCCATGCCCCTTTTAACTTGTAATTTATTTATATTAATTATGAACATTTGTTTAACCTCAAAAGTACAGTTTTTTTTTATTAAATGTTGCTGAAACGGCAAGTTTCTCAGTGGATCTGTGCTCAAAAATGCAGCCTATGTTGAGTAGTCGAACACAGATCCACTGAGAAACTTGCCGTTTCAGCAAATTTTAAATTAAAAAAACTGTACTTTTGAGGTTAAACAAATGTTCATAATTAATATAAATAAATTACAAGTTAAAAGGGGCATGGAAATTTCTCTTTTTTGTATCGAAAAAATATCGAACCGTGAGACTAAAGTATCGAACCGAACCGTGAATTTTCTGTA